AACACAACTCAAAGGCAAAAATTAACGAGTACAAATATAATGCAGAGAAGAGAAGCTGTGAATCAATTGTGCTTTTCGAAAAATAGAAAAGAGTTATACATGTCAGAGTTACAAATTTTTCTTATTTTAAGAGCCCTAAGTTCCTAGTGGCAGAGTAGTTGAAGGACTCTGCAGTTCAGTAGGAGAAGTCTCAGCAGCAGAAGCAGGAAGGGAGCCTGGAAGTTCAGCAGAGGAAGTAGCTGGCAAATCCTCCCCCCTCTTTCACTCTTGCAGATCTTCGATGTTTCAGAGATGGTCCCTCAGAAATACAGGGGGGAATAGCTCCCGACAGAATACGATAGACCACCTCTAAAGCCCTCTTAACCTCTGTTGAAGAGGGAGAAGTGAGGGGCAGATCTGGCTTAAAACCCCCACTAGAAGGGGGCAGCCTAGTCTCCTAGGAGAAAGAGGTCTACACAGCCTTTGGGGAGGCCGAGGTGGTTGGGGCGCCACTGGGGTCACTTGAGGAGAAACAGAGGTCACCTTCAACCTTGGAACTTTGGAAGCTGAACCACTCCCTGATTCAGCCTTAGCCTTGTGTTTGCCTCCACTCCTGTTCTTTCTCATCAAAGATAGCTTGGCATTTCGATCTTTCGCAGTTGGCTCCATTGAAGAAGAGCCTGGAAACCCAAGGAAGAACCAACATAAAAAAAAAAAAGGAGAGAAAGGGGGGCAAGGGCAAAGGCGGAGAGGAACATTACCTACTACCTCCTCAGCTCTGACAATGGAGAGTGGAATGGGGGCTTCTACTGTTACCTCTGGAAGGCTGAACCTTTCCATTACTAGGACCCAAGGCTTAATGAGCTCAGAGTATCTTTCTGGTTTACACTTCTCCAACCTCAGCAACACTTGTTCGTCCTCAGCATTGAGCTCAGGTCAAACACCTAAAAAATAAAATAAGACAGGACAAGGTCAAGAGGGCTCTCCAAACCTGAGCATAAATAGTTTGAACAAGGACTTACCCAAGTTATCAGGGGTAGACCAGGCTCTAGGTATGGGGAGAGTGTCTGTTTTATCAGCCGGATTGTACTCCCAATATTCTCCCCACATGAAGAAGAAAAGTTTTCTCCAACCCTTGTGGGAGTTCGAGAGGTCAGAAATAATCTGTTTAGCCTTTACCCGTTTAGAAACGTACAAGAAGCCGTCGATAGGGGTATACTTGACATTGAAAAGCTCAATTAGTAAGGAGACAGTAGGAACACCAAGCTTATGTAGCTTAAAAAAAATGAGGCCCAACACACCCCAAACGTTGGGAGACAGCTGAGCAGGGTAGACGTTAAAATGTTGAAGAACACTCTTGACAAAAGGGTGTAAAGGAAAGCGCAGACCATTTTCGAAGGTAGCAACAAAAAAGCAAACCTTCTTATGGACTTGGGAAACGTATGGGATAAATTTGTCGGGACACCAAAACTGAACTCTTGAGGGAAAACTGTAGCGAGCACTAAGGACCTTCATTAGAGGTGGGCTGACCTCACTAGGGCCTGCTAGTTCAGCAGCTCTAAAGGCAGTCCCTGCACCTCCGGCACTGCCTGAGACACCAACTCCGCTCACCTTAATCTTGCCCTTACTAGAATCTTTGGGCGCAGGGGGAATAGATAGGGGAGTTTTCTCTGTGTTTCCCTCGGCTTCAACATAATCAACCCCAAGAAATTTGTTAATGTCCTCACCTACCTCGCCCAAATCCGAGGTGTCCTCAACAGTCCTATCCCCAAGAAGGGAGACAGAGGAAGGGGTGGCTTCAGAAGAGGCAGACATGGTGGGGCAGGAAAAAAAGAGTCTAAAGGTACAATAGAGGGGAACAATATTCGCGAGGCACTCCCTAAGGGTTTGGGGAGCAACAGAACAACTCCCAATAAGGAAGACCCTAGCGGTCGAGTGAGGGTCTAAGAAAAGGGGAATGCAAGATAGTGATCGACCTCGATTTCTAAAATAGCAAAATTGAAAGGTCCAAAAATGCAAGAACCACTTTAAATCTGAGGGATCCAGAACGAAGAGACAAACAAAGGATAAAAGGATGGAATGAACCTCGGATTGGATCAGGGAAAATCATTTCCTCAGCGAAACCCTAATAGGCATCCACAAAGTCGAAAAATTGAAAGCCGCAGGAAGAAGAGAGGGAAAAATGTAGAAAGGGAGTTCAAAGGATGGAATGAACCGTTCTCCCTCAAATGCAGAGGCATTTAAAGCTTACAGTACAAAGTGAAAAACATGCACGAGAAACGAGAAAATGAAATGATTGCCTAAAACTGTCAAAAACCTGTTCGTGCACAAATCGAGGTCCGCATTTGGAGGTCTGTACTAATTAAGTCTAAACTCAGCTCAGCCCCTACCCAAATTCACTTGGGATAAGGGCTGGGGGACAACCTAATAATACTTAAATAATTTTCAACCAGGAGGTCGGATAAAGAGGTCAGATCAGTAGGTCTGGAAAAAAAAGTCAGAAAAGACACGCAGAGCTCAAGTTAGACCTAGATTCCCCTCCCCCAGGCGCGCAATAGCGGAAGTGATAAAGGAACAGCTGGATGATAACATAAATCTGTTGGGTGGCAAAGAGCCAAGATTCGAGGCATAAAATCCTTAACCAGCCAAGATCCTCTCATGAGATTAAGGAGGGTTCCTCGGATAAATAACAAGGATCTCGGTGCAGATCCCATAGAATTAGGAACAGCCCTATAAAATGTTATATAACTCTCCCAAAGCAGGGGGAGAACCCTAGCAATATATTCTACCCTGTAAACCTTCTAAATAGTGAGGAAAAAGAAAAGAAGCAAGAATCTCCATTGAGGAGTGGACTAGCCAAGCTTCCAAGTTGGCGAACTACTATATTTTTCGTTGTTCCAATCCCCTTAACGATTTTATGCACTGTTCTCTCGAGCCTTATGGCTTAGATCCTAGTAGCCAAAATGTTGTTCATGCCATCTGTTCATGACCACACGTTGATTTACACCACCAACATCTTTTTGTTTATATTCTTAATTTGAATGTGAAATTATTTGCAACTAGCCTATGATTGTTTTTTATATTTGCCTATGATTGTTTTTTATATTTGTGCAATTGACATCTATGTAAATATAAATACAAATACCTCATTATTGTTCTATTGATGGACAAAATTAATGACAACTTATAGTTAGAGAAGAGTATGTTTTTTCTTCTTGTTAAGTAACATTAATAATGTTTAATACTCCCCTCACAAGTGGTCCCTCTTGGGTGGTCTAAGACCATGTTTATTTTGTAATTTAAGAGAGGAAGGCTAGTGTGATTTAAAATCAGTACCTTTTACTTTTGATACTATGTTCTCCCCGCCCAAATTGTTGGAAAATTTTTACATGCAATGTTTAGAATCTAGCTTGCACGTGAAAGAGTATTTTTAAATATAAGTACTTAAATTACACATTTTTTTACCCGTTTAAGCTTTTGGGATAGAGTACAATTTAACGTTACAAGCACCACTATCAATACCTAAATTACACATTTTAACATTTTAGGGTACCCCTTGCAATGCTTTCTTTATGTGTGGTTAAAATGCTTGTTTTGGTTAAGATGTAAGCGAGTGGTAAAAATGTAAGCGTGTGGTTAAATTTTACTGTAATGAATATGTAAGTGAATGATAAAAAAATTTGTTATAGTTAAAATGCTAGTAGGTGGTTAAAATATTTATTTTGATTACAATGTAAATTGTAAGAAAGAGTATTGGATCGTAACTTCAAATGGTCTGGACTTTTATGTTTTCTAGAGCTTTGTAATTTATCATACAAAATTCTGGCCAACAATCACCGGAAAATAGAATGGCCTATCGAAGCTTCTCGATGTGAAAATCAGTGGTTCGAGACTAAAACCAGAAGGAAGCGCTGGAGGCCACTCTTTATGTACATTGGAAGTGAGTAAGACTTGCGTTCATGGAGAATTTGTAGGAGAGATCATGGAAGTGAATAAGACTAGCCTTCACAAAATAGAAGCAACGACTGCTAGAATACATGTCTTTAGGAGTGAGAAGTGTAGCAGTCGTCTATTTTCTTATTTGTGGCTACAAATGGAAAAAAAACAAAACAAGTTTACAGTAACCACAAAAATATGTAAAAACCACCAAAATTATTTGAGGGTAAAAAAATTTTCTTCTATTAATTCAGTCATTTATTATGAAAATAATAACATAACACTTTATACGTCAATCTAAGTGGAAGAAAAGTTGATATTGTATCATATATTGCTTTTCATTGTCTAAACAAGACCCATAAACAATTGACTTTGACACGATTTACCCCTCATTATCACACTTGGGCTAAGTGACTTTTCATGCCTCTTTGGTACAACTTAAAAACATATCTAAACTCTGGATGAGTCTTCTGCTGGACTGGCTGTATGTGCACGCATTTCCGTGTGTGCACGCGTTTGTGGGTTTTCATGGATAGAATCTCTGGTTTATAAAGGCAAAAGGCAATTACATAAATGCCAAAAAAAAAAAAAATCACCTCAACTTTGTTGACTAACAGATAATTCTGAATTAATGTTCCAATCTAAAAAAGGTGACTAATACTTGGTATCTTTTATCCAGCGGTCGAATGACTTTTTATTCGTTTGCATTACCAAGACAAGGTTTATCACATCTGAAACCTCTGCCATTTAGCAAGAATACAGCCCTGTAGTATCATTTCTGCCTTGACTGAATCAATTACATATTTCAGAAGCTACAAAATCTCATTAGAGCAGAAGGAACCAAACCAAACTGAGTCGGGCAGAAACAAAAAGCACCACCCAGTCCCAAAAATGTCACATAAATTAACATCGAGCTCTACAGAAACCCGGACTAATGCAAGAATTAATAAACATGACAGCATAATATCTACCATCACATGAACTGGTCACAAAGAAAACAAAAAGAAAGAATAGGATAAGGAACCTACTACTACAGTCTCAGACTGCCAAAAACAAGCCTGGATGAACTTAAATGACACTATGCTTTATGATGGAGCACCAAGATAAGAGGCAAGCCGCAATATGTCACTGAATACTCCTCCAGCTGTCACTTCGGCTCCTGCACCTGGGCCACGGACAATTAGAGGCTGCTTCTTGTACCTTTCAGTTGTGAAGGCAATGATGTTATCGGACCCTGAAAGTTGTGCAAACGGGTGGTCTTTCTTGTATTTTCGCAACTCCACATCCCCTTTTTGTTTGATAATGTCCACCACGCCAACATATCTCAAGACCTTCAGGTATTTCAAAGTTCATATGATGAAAAAGTAAATGTACAAACAAAGAAAACTAATGTGTTGCAATAAGTGACATGTCTCATGCTGCTAAACTAGAACCTTCTTTAAAGGAAACAAAACAGACTCCTTGCAAGCTACTTCCAGTAAAGGTACCATTTCCCATCAGAAGGTTTGCCAGACTTCTAAAAATAAAGTTACATGGCATTTCTAAAAAATGAAATTCATCTACAAGTGATGCAAAATTGAATTGCTATATTTGTTTATAGAAAAATATCATTAACACCAAAAATGGTTCCACTAGAAGAACTATCATCTTATATGCTATTGAAAAAAAAAGATGAAAAATTTCATGAAACTCCAAACCAGAGCCATTATCATTACCTATGGTCGAGGTCCCTGATTTAGTAATTGCCACATTACAAATAACAAGGTATGTCAAATGTTATGTAAAAACCCATCAAAGCCATTCAAATTATAAGTCCCTGTCATACTGACCTCATCAACCAACAAATTCCTTCCAATCCTGTTCTTATTTGTATTTTCACACTGGACAAGTTGTACAAACCACCTCTTAGGTATGTATTTCTCGTACACCCGTGAGGTTTCAAAATTACAGTCAGCCCTCTAACCATCAACTAGCATATTTGACGGAAAAAATGAAACGGTCACCGTCCCTTGGTCAAAATCAAGTAAAACTGACCCAAACCAACCCAATCCACACTGGGAGGCAAAGGCCAATCCTGACCCTAAACCGGACCAAATCAAACCAAAAAAATACCTCTACCCACCCTAGCCTCCCCTTATCCCAACTATCCCCCACCCCCCACAATGACCATCACCACGACCACCATTCAATTTCACAGAAACTATTTGTCTAGTTTGAATGTTTTATCATCCACTGGATAATCTTTGACATCATTACAAGTTACCGGTGATAAGCCCCCAATTAATTATTAATCAAAGAGGAAAATAACTAATCCGAAATTCCATGAAAAATGAGCAATCTTTCCTACAAATATCACAAAAGTAGAAGCCCAAACACACCCACAAACCAAAATTAAGCCTCTCGAGACTCAAACAGTGGCTTTAGAGTTGAAATTATAAAAGTGATATTAGGGTTAGAAGAAAAGAGAGAAGGAGATAAGAAAGAAAGATGAAAAAAATAGAGTAATCAATTGTGTGGGTTACGTTGCTTTATACTATCTTATTTGTAATAAACTGATATTATGAGAATTACAATATTACCCTACATTACTAATAATATAAATAAGAACTATATCCCTCCCCATTAAACTGGAGCATAAAGATAAAAATTCCCAATTTAGAACAAAGATTATTGAAGACAGATCGACCCAAAGGTTTTGCAAGGATGTCACCCAACTGATCACTAAACTTGATGTATAGTGTAATAATCTTCTTACACATCCAGAGATCTTGAATTAAATGACAACTCACTTCAATGTGTTTAGTTCTCTCATGAAATATTGGATTGCTAGTAGTGAAAATAGTTATCTGGTTGTCACAATGCATCTCCATAGGAGAGGCTACATTGATACCCATATCACAAAATAGAGAACGAACCCACCACACCTCACACGCAATATGAGCCATGACTGGGTATTTAGCCTGTGCACTCGAACATGCAACTACATTTTGTTTCTTGCTATGCCAAGCAACAAGATTACTACCAATAAATATACAATAACCTAAAATAGATTGTCCTCATTTGTTCTTGACTTTGAAACCTTAGTGCTTTGTGTTGAGTAACAAAAATGATGCTGTGATGATTTCTTGCTTATTTTTTAAATTGTTCTCTTGTATTACAAATTATGAGAATTGAGGATTTTGGATTTTCTTGTACTTTAAAGAAAATGTTTGTTATTGCATCTCTTGTATGGTTGTTGTGATGGACTTGAATTACATTCGAGTACTGTCGTAGAGTGTTAGAGGTTAGTCTATCCCAGTGGGGGTGAGATGGTTTCCCAACATTTGTAGTGGTTTGTTGTTTGTGAGAGCAATTATTATTGTTCACGTAAGTTTAAGGCGGAGGGATGGTATACCTTTCCTGGGAAGGATTTGCCAATGTCGTGGGAGACGGTATACGCCTTTCCTAAAGTGGTTTGTGTAACTATGGTGGGTGAATGAGGTAGAATCGGGGTGTAAATCCATGGTAAGCAACCAACATATATGAGTATAATGGATGACACTATTGAATGATTATTGTTATTGTGTGGAATTGGTTTTCTACAAGAGCTTGTGGAGGTATGGGACTCTACAAGTGAAAAATGGTTCATGATTAGAAATGTTTTATTGTTGAAAAATTCATTTTTACTGTTCATTTAAATTATTGTTATTGCGTAAACTTGAGATCCGTTAAAATGTCCCGATTTTATTTCAAAATTTGATATATGATATTTGTAAAATTAGACTGAACTGTTTTATATGTTCTCTAAACCTTGTTCGGGATTGAGAGAATGTTGTTACAAAGTTTAGTGCTCACCCCCTACAAACTATATATTTTTCAGATTGTGGTCTAGACGGAGAGCTCGGAGTTAAGGAGCCGACACATTGGGAAGCTTCACTAGAAGGGCTTGTGGATCCCGAGGTAGACGTCTAGAGTTGATCCCTCCATGTTGTAAATTAGGGGATATATTTTGGGACATTCATAGATGTCCTTTTGTTTATTTCCTCTACGAGAAAATAATAGATTCTTTTGGGATGTAATGGTCATGGTTGCCCTATTCTTTTGGAATGATATTGTAAATGTTATATTTGATGAATGAAATATCCTTTAATGATGAATTTATTTAGTTGCTCTCATGATGTGAATGGTTTATAAATTGTAATGCCGTCCAAGGTAGGTTTTGGGACATTACAATTTTATCTTTCAGATATAGAATATTATTCGGCTGACTCAGTTGGCTAGCTTTTGTACTGATAATATGTTATAAAACTAGTCATTTATTTAAGTGCAAATAACTAATTCAAAAAATAGATAGAGAGATGGAGATATATATTTCATTCGGTGTGTTTTGATTCAACAATTGAGGCCTTTTTAGAGGCAAATTCTGGCACTGTCGGTGGAAAGCTTGGGGACAAAGTATTCAATGAAGTAATGGCAGTGGGCATCCACCCACATGCCAAAGTCAAGTTTTCAACACAGGGCATTTAATGATGCTAGCAGATTGTTGTTAGTCAACAAACTCACAGAGTGGGCTTGATTATAAGTTGACACAAGACCTCAAAGGGTTGGTATAATTTCTTAAATGTCGAGGGCCTTAGTGTAATAAGCACAAATCTCATGATGCAATTTGAACTTTAATAGTTACATGTCGTTTCTCTTTGCTTCTAACATTTTAGATTTTATTTCTGATATTAGTATGAAAAGATTGCCATTTTTGTTTGCTGTGTAACAGTCCAATGTGGCAGTAGTGTCAGAGATACTCACTTCCCCAGCTTCCTCAGCATCCTGCCGTTGCTTAGCCAAGTTTTCATCAAATTGTGGCAGCTGCTGCAAAAACTCCTCAGCCGATGTAGTACCCTGAAAAAAGCATAAAAAATAACATTAAATGCAGAAAAATGCTTTAACAAGCTCCTATAAGATTGGAAACAAAAATAATCTCACCCTTAAAGGTTCTGGTACCAGGTTCATAACAGGGATATCCGAATGTTCTAGCTTTAATCCACATTCTCTAGCAAGAATTATCACCTGAGACATAAAAGCAACTTTATGAGTCAAACATGCATTCTCATCGGACAGACAAACATGTAATCATAGACACAACATGATGGCCGGCTTTTGTTATGGTAAAGGGCACCATCAACACTAACTTTAAGTACAATGTCCATAACAAAGAGTTTCAGCAACAAAAAAATTGCTGCCTTTTGTTCAGGATGAGGTGATAGAATGGGTAGCTCCATGGAGTCAATTTGCAACAGAAGGGTGACGGACAGATGGGCACATATCTGAAACATTATGAGACGCCCCACATGTCCATTAAATTTGTCAGGACGAGGTAGCTCACAAATAATTCATTTCCAGAGAAATTTGAGACCATATATAATGGTTGATATTGAATATCAAATCCGAAACTTATGGGACACGGACACGCTCTCTGAACATGTGTCGGATACGCAAAAAAGAGTGTTCGAATTTTTTTTTTATTTTTTAAAATTTCAGACATTCCATACTTGATGGGACACCTCTAGATACGTTTTTGTAGCCAATATCAAATCTATTCAAACTAATTGGCTGTATAAAAAATAGAAAATAATTTACCAAATTGAAATTTAACCAACCCTTTTGGATTGTTTGCAGGTCGACGACGATTGCAAGGATGTAGATCGGCAATGAAGAAGATGAAGACATGTGAAATTCAATTGCAGAAGAGGTATTGAGAGAGTTGGTCAACAGAGACATTTAGAGAGAGAATTAATGTTGGACAACAAGAGCTACAGTGATGCAGATGTTGTAGAGAAAGAGATGATTGGTGACCATGAGAGAGAGAGAGAGAGAGAGAATCGAGTCAGCAAAGCGCAAAGCCAATGCCCTTTCTTTTCTTTGATTTTGATCTGTGATTTTTCGTTTAAATCAGTTCAGTGCCACATTGTGTTAAATAACTGGTCTTCCAAATTCATCTTATCAACTGATCACTTGGAATGATCACATGTGACTGGGAGCAAAAAGAAAGTTACAATTGGTGCATTGGATTGGATGGGTTGCCCTTAGAAGTAATATGTACTTGGGCCTTTTGTTTTGGCCTCATAAGCATGCCCTGTATTTGGGTCACATTAGGGCTTCTAGACATTTAACAGAGGCTAGTCCCCGAAAATGCTACAAGTTGGGGCCAATCCAGCACCTTTGAATCCCCATCCAAACTAAGGAGTTTGAGAAAAAAGACTGAGTGGAATAAGATTCGAAGAAAAATTCATTTATTGTTAAGATTAGATATGCCAACAGATAGATGGTTCTCCTTTGTAAAAAGGGTCAATCTAAGAAAATCGACTAAAACACGCCAATCTAAAGAGCTTCTGTGCTAGCAATTCCCAAAGGCCAAAAGAATGAAATAAGACGTCTAATTTATGCATTATCTTGCGCAAATGGATAATTCATTATCATATAAAAATTAGAATTCGTCCAAATTTGTGAATCTTAGTCATGTAAGAACGAACAATATATTGGACCAAATCTATAAACTCACTATTATTCAAAAAAAAAAAAACTTAGGGCCAAATATGTCGTGCAATATAAAAAAATTATGCATATATTTATTCAACGTGTCCTCGATGTGTTCGTTTCCTACTTTTTAGAAAAATATATTGCCAGCGTATCAGTGGGGTGTCATGTCCATGCCCGTGCTTCTTAGATGGCAACTAAAGACATCTTCGTTGAACATATGAGCTATCCCCAAGTCAGTGACAAACAGCAGCAGAAACGAGAATAATTATGAAGTTTCAAGACACAAAATTAAATCTATACCTTTCTAGCGACATCTGCTCCAGATAGATCATCCCTTGGATCTGGCTCTGTGTAACCTGCCTCTGTTGCCTCCGTCACCACTTCACTGAAGGCTCGTGTGCCTATAAAGTTGTTGAAAATATAACTAACAGTCCCACTGCATCAACAGACATCAGAGTGAAGACAAATGAAGAAAATATTATAGAACAAATTCTAGTACGAGTACTTGAACCTGCAATAGCACTAAAAGAAATTGAATACTAGGAAAAAACGATTCAATCCATTTCAAATTTGCAAACGAGTAGCAATCTCATCTTGTGACATTTTAACACGTTAGTATGACAAACCTAAAAATGCCTTCAATGCGTAGTATTTTGTCCCCAGTTTCAAGGAGACCTTGTAAAGTGCTAATGATTGGGAGACCAGCTCCAACGGTAGCTTCATAGAAGTAGTGTGTATACGATTGCCGTTGAAGAGCTCTCAACTTCAGATACTAGATTTGAACGAAAACAAAATAAAGTTAAAGGTAATTAACCGATTATAATCAAGTTCCTTGTACTTTGAGAATTTTCTTGATCGAAAGGGAGCTATACTATTGTTGGGTCATAGACCGACAGTAAAGGAAGTGTGAAGCAGACAATTAATTAAGAATAATAATGTTTGATACAAATTATAAAAAAGTTAAACCTCTAATTCATAACCACATAACATCAAATCCTGCAAATGTGATGCTACCTGATCAAGTGGTCCTGAATTGGCCTTCTTGTTAGGTGTGATTATATGAATTCCCCTACGCAACCAGTCATGGTAATGGCTTGCAACAATAGAATCTGCCGTACAATCAACCAAAACAGTATTTGGTATAAAATGATTCCCATGCACATGTTGAACAAACTTCTCGAGGTCAGCCTTTTCTCCTTTCTCCTTTTGAACTTCTCTCCATCTAGACAAGTCAATACTCCTACAACCAGAAATTAAATGGTTAAGGGTATACGGAGAGACTTCTAGAATGTCCAATTAACAGACCAAATATAGAAGTCTCATCCATCAATCAATAAGCCCCAGCATGCAATGAGAAGCGGAGAACAAGTGCCTCAAAAATACTAATCTAATACAAACCACCATGAGGCGAGATGGCTACAAGTCAGGAGAAGCTAGAGGTAGCATTCCAGCAACCCTAAACCATACCAAACTCTACATCAAAGCAAACTATGCCCACAAAGTGAATTAGTTTCAATAAGAAAGAGATGCATCACGTTTCTCACTGATACTCAATATCAAAAGAATTCAAAGTTTAAAGAGTTGCAGCGCTTAATGGAAAAATAGGTCTTGTTTAAACCATCGAAAGAAAACATTAAAATCCCAAATTCTAGAATTCCTTTCAAGAAAATGTGCTGACGTACAGAGAATCATATCCCTTCGTATGATTAAGACAATCCCAATGTATAAAACTCCTCCACATTTTATGGCAGAACATGAATAGAGATGCTCAGCCTTCTTAAATATTTGCCGTTTTATTTCAAGTTGCAAAGGTTTAACCTAATCATGCTGTTAAGCTATCAATAAATAAAATATTTAGATATTTCGTGGCTGCGTATTCAAAATGAATATGATTCATTTATGAAAGTGAACTTAGGTTGTTTTTTGGTTTAATGTTTACCTTGCAATTGAAACTTGAATAATGTATAGCATAGTTGTCAAATTGCGATTCGTATCGCAATGCGGAATCCTAAATTTATAGAACTGTGAATCGTAAGATTCGACACAAAATTTGAACAAATATAAAAAATAATATTTACATATTTAAAATAGGCAAAATATTGAATATTGAACATTATTGCATTTTTAAAATAATCAATTGACATAATCACGTTGTCTAAATGGAAAGATGCTAGCCTTTTACTTCATTTTGATCTTTTGCTTAACCATTTTCAAATTCAACAATTTAAAGAAAAAAAAATTCATTAAAGAACCATGATATTCAAGAATCAACACAATGACACTGAGTACAAATTAAGTTACAAACATGAATGAAAAAATAATAAATAAGAAAATTGATTGAGAAAAAACATACAGGACAATATTTTGAAACAAAAAATTAGAACCTAAGAAATTGTCCATGAAAGAATTAGAGTAGATATCAAAGTTTATTCTAAAATATGGTAACACGAGATAGAAAAATCCAATGTAAAAAAAAAGAAAAGAAACAAAAAAGGCATGCTTGGGCTTGCTTACTATTAAGAAGAAGAAGAAGAGGAGGCGCAGGAGCAGGAGGAGGAGGAGGCATACCTTCAGCTGATGACGGGAGAGCTTTAGCCTTGACCTTCAGATAACGCGAAACGAGCTTTAGATAACACGAGAGAGAGAATGAACAAAGAGGTTGAATTTTATTAGGGGATGGGTTCATCAGCAAACAAAACGACATCGTACTCCTAATGACGTCGTTTTGCCGCTAATGACATCGTTTTGCCAAAATTAGGATTTTAAAAAAAAGAGTGATTGAATCGTGTGATAATAAATCAAATTGTATGAATCGTAAGATTTAGTTGCCATTTTAACTCTAAAAACAATTTTAATATAAGATACGAATCGTTTTGTGCCTGTATCGAATTGAATCGTACATATCGAATTATACGATTTTGATAACTATGATGTATAGTAGGGTTTAAGAAAAGAAAGAAAAAGGAAAAAAGTGATTATGTAACAATATTGTGTGCTGGGTGTGTTGCCAACACCTTATCAAATATTGACACACCCTATCAATTATTTATATTAGATTGACATTGACGACAACTACATATTATAAATTAGAGCGCAATAGGAAAACCACATAATAGGACAGTAGAACAATAGAAAAGTAATATGGGAGAGTAAAATAATAGGAAAGTCAAACAACGACAAAGTAACTCTCAAACACATTCCCTCAATCTAAATCATAGAGATAAAAAATATCCTACTTGGAATAAAGGCTATTAAAAATGGACACGCCAATGATTTCACTGAGTTCACCGTAATATCTCTACATAGACAATAAGAATGATAAAACTAAGCTTTCGGTGGGTACTTCAGACCATTCAGGGACTTTTGTAATCAACAAAAATTACCAAGATACTCCCAAACAACAAATCTAGGTGGTTGTTCCATGGAAAGTCTAAGACATCCCTTTAGTTTTTTAGATAAGTAATTAACGATCACACACCAAAACAAGCAATTGCATTGACCACGACAACACCGAGGAAGAGAACACAGTGATGGTAGAGGACAAACTGAACAACACTAGAATCACCAACATCAATACAAGACAAACGAACACAAACAACAATACCATAATGAACCACAGGAAACAAAAAACAAATTAAAGGGGTATTTCCAAGGGTTTGTCTTGGTATCTGAGTATGAAGCTATGGTTGGTAAAAGTTAGAAAATTCTATTTTGTTACATTAATGTCCCAACCTGATTGAGATGCCAAATACTAAGCATTATCAAGTTGCAGAGAGCACAACAATGAAAAAAATAAGGTAAACCACCCAGAACTAGAGTTCAATCAACCAAAAAAAGGGGTTGAACCAGCGTGAAAACCACAAAACCAATAACTTACTTGGATTAAAAATTCCAAAATTGGCACTGAACCAGGTTGCAAACACCAAGTCGATACTCAACAGGGATTAAAACTACTAAATCATCGCCAAAAATCATTGAACCGACACTAATAGGGCTAAAAACACTGAAGCTGAACAAATCCAAGATGAAAACCAGTAAACCAACACCAAACATGGTCAAAAATCACAAAACTAACACTAAACCAAACTAAAAACACTAAAATCCATACTGATTATCAAACATCGAAGATGTGGACACAAATTTAGGCACCCAACAATAATTGATAAAGATCACAAAAACCGATGAACAAACATAAAGGACTATAATTTGAGATGTGCTGGGTTGGCCCAACCACAAGGTGAGGCACTTGTCTAAGGTCGGGCCCCACGGACATATATATCTTGCTCGGATACCAAGGATCAAAATGTCATGTCGATTCTTCCGAAACGTTTCAAATTTTTAACACACCGATACAAGACATGTCTTGAATCCCAAAATTCCAACATTTTGATTAAAACGTCACTATGTCAGACCATTTTGGCCGAAGTGTCACCGTTTCGACGAAACAGTGTATAGATTCGCTTCACTTCAAACCAAAAGAAAAAAAGAAAACTCTCAAAAAGTTAAGATTCTACAAGTCAAATCCCAGAATTCACAGGTCCTCTTTTTCAGAAATCACATGTCCAGGTCCAGGTTTTCCAAACCAAAAAAAATAGAGAGGAGAGAGAGAAAGGCACCAAACAAAATTGAAGAGACAGAGAGAAAGAAAAATACATAGACTAAAGACCAGAAATTGAAGGAGAAGCCTTCAGTAACTTACCTCTTTGAGCTTAGATTTGAGCAGATCTAACAATTTTTCACGCAAATCTAGGGTTTGAGAGTTGGGAGTCCCGTGTTCATCGCTGCGAGCTGCGACTACAACCTACCAGCTCAAGTATGTTCTTGTCTCTCTCTCTGGTACCGCCATCGCCCATCGCCATCGCCATCGCCATCGCCATCGCCATCGCCATCGCCTCTCGCCTTTCGCCTCTCTATCTTCTCTTTGTCTCTGTTCGTTCGTGGGTCACGACTAGTCTTCTGCCTTTATATATATATATATATGAACAATTACATTTAATACCCCACTATATTATAACTTTTTATTTTTTTATTATAACTTTTCTTGTTACATTTGATACCCTTCATTATTTTTTTTCTTTTTTGTAATTATTCTTTTATGTTATTATTTTTTGTTAAATTGGTATATCAAATAACTGCAAGTCATTTTATTAATTATAACTTATTTGTTAAATATCTAGAATTAAGTATTTATGTGTATACAAATTGTGTACACAATGATTTTAATATTAATAAAATAATATTTGGGTCATGACTGTGCAGAGTCTTCTGCCTTTTATATTTTTTTTTGTTCTAAGTATGAACAATTACATTTAATACTTCACTGCATTTTAAGTTTTTACTTTTAAATATACATAAGTACCATTAATTTAATTTGATACCCTTCATTATTTTTTTTATTTTTTGTAATTATTCTTTTATGTTATTATTATTTGTTAAATTGGCATATTAAAAAAGTACAAGTTATTTTATTAATTATAACTTATTTGTTAAATATCTATAATTAAGTATTTATGTGTATACAAATTGTGTACACAATGACTTTAATATTAATGAAATAATATTATTTATTAATTTGAAGACACAATTTAAATTAATAAATTAGTATTATAATAATATGCTACACACATTAGTATTATGGAGTGACATGCTGCAAATAGTATTATTAATTAGTAAATTAGTATTATAATAAACTAGTATTATTAATTGAATAATATTTTAATTTAAAAGTGTTATACATGTTATATTTAATTTGTAGAATGAATATAATGTATTTGATAATGTAATGGTATTTATTGTAGATATGACATCAAAAGAGAAGAATGTGGTTACTAAATCATCTCAGAAAGAACGTGATATTAGATGAAATTACAACGAACGAATTGAGGATAATCGACAACATGTTATGTGTAATTTTTGCCATAAAAAATGATGGGTGGTGGTGTGTCACGTTTAAAGCAACACTTGACAGACGGTTATAATAATGTGGAACAATGTGATAAGTGTCCTATTGAAATTGCGAGAGCTATGAGGGATTACTTGAATCGTAACAAGACTGGAAGTGTAGAAGTGACTAATGAACGGAGAAAAATGAGACATAATTTAATTGGTGGATCAAGGCGGAGGAGTGGTATCGAAATTTATTCTTCCAATGAGAATTCAGATGATGGTATGGATATCGAATATAGAGCTGATATTGAGTATGCAAAACAACAATTTATTCGTGATATACATATGGCCGAACAAGACTTTAGAGGAGGAAGTTCTAGACTATTTATCCAAAAAA